CCATCTGTATGCCTTTTATTTCTTTTTCTTTCCTTACTGCACTGGCTGAAGTTTCTAGTACTATGTTGAATAAAAGTGAGAGGAAGTGGTTAGTTCATAGAAGGGAAGCATTCAATCTTTCACTGTGATGGTGTTAGCTGGAGGTATTTAGTAGATGTTATTTATCAAGTTGGGGACATTTCCCTCGGTTTCTAGTTTTCTGGTAATTTTTATCATGAATGGGTATTGAATTTCATCAGATGATTTTTCTGTATCATTGACTTTTCTTCTTTAACTAGTTCATTTGGTAGATTACATTGATGTTCAGATATTCAACCAGGCTTGTATCCCTAGGTTATGGTATATAATTCTCCTTGCATATTGCTGAATTTTATTAACTAATATTTTGTTAAGGATTTTTACATCTATATGCATGATTGATATTGGCTTATAGTTTTCCTTTTTTGTACTTTTTCTAGTTTTGATATCAGGGTAATACTGACTTTGAGTTATGAAGTGTTGCTTTCTCTTCTATTTTCTAGAAGAGATTGGGTAGAATTGGTGTTAGTTCTTTAAATATTTGCTGGAATTCCTCAATGAGATCATCTGGGCATGGAGGTTACTTTTTCAGAAATTATAAAACTATGAAGTCAATTTCTTCATTAATTTTAGGGTTATTCAATTTACCCTTTGTATTGGGTGAGTTTTGGTAGTTCTTGTGTTTGTTCAATCTAAGTTATCACATTTATTTGTATAGAGCATTTATAGTATTCCTTTTTTATTTCTTTGATATCTACAGAATATTTGGTAAAACTGCATTTCATTTCTGAATTTGTTAGGGTCTTTTCACTATTATTCTTTGTCAGGCTTGCTAGAGATTTGTCAACTTTATTGATATTTTCAAAGAACTGGCTTTTTTTCTGTTTTTCTCTTTTCTTTTCATCAAATTCTTCTCTTATATTTATTATTTCTTTTCTACTATTAGCGTTGAGTTTATTTTGCATTTCTTTTTCTAGTTTGTTAGCATGACACTTCAGTGACTGATTTGAGACTTTTACTTTTTTATGTAAGCATTTAGTACAATTCATTTTTTTGGAGCACTACTTTAACTTCATCTCACAGATTTTGATATGTTATAATTTTCATTTTCATTTGGGTCAGTGCATTTTAAAATTTTCTTTGAGACTTCTTCTTTGACCCATGGCTTATTTAGAAGTACTTGAAGATTTTCCTTACAGTTAGATTATCTTGCTGTTATTGATTTTGGTTTGATTACACTTTGGTCTGAGAACACATAATGTGTATTTTTTCAATAATTTTAAACTTGTTGGGTTTTGTTTTGTGGCCGAGGATATGGCCTATCTACTCTATACTCTTGGACATTTGAAAAGAATGTGTATTCTGTTGTTGCATGGAGTATTCTATAGATGTCAATTAGATCTTGTTGTTTGATGTGTTGTGGTGTTCAGTATCTTTGCTCATTTTCTGTCTAGTTGTTTTGTTGATTGTTGAGAGAGAGAATATTTGAAATTTCCAACTACAATTGAGAATTTGTCTAGTTCTTCTTAAATTTTACCAGTTATGGCTTCATATAATTGAAAGGTCTGTTGTTTGATACATAACATTTAGGATTTCTATATCTTCCTTTTGCATTGACCTTTTAGTCATTATGTAATGTCTGTCTTTGTCCTTGGTAATTTTTCTTTGCTCTGATATTTTCTTTTTCTGATATCAGTACAGCCACTTCTGCTTTCATTAGATTAACATTTGCATGGTATATCATTTCTGTTCTATTAGTTTCAGCCTACTTATAACCTGCCTATATTGTTATATTTGAAGTGAGCTTCTGGCAGATAGCATAGTGTTGGATTATATTTATTAAGTCATTTCTTCTAAACTTTACTTTTTAATTGGCATATTTAGACCATTTACATTTAATGTAGTTATTGATATGTTGATATGTTATCGATAAGTCTTCCATTTCATTTGCTTATTTTTGTTTTGATTGTTCCTTCTGTTTTCATTTTCCTATGTTGCTATATTTTGTGTGGACTTTATTTATAATTCAATTTTTATTCATATGTAGTTGATTTATGTATAGTGTATCTTGCTATATAACATCATTTTTCATGGTTGCTTTTAGATATATGTTATTTTATATAATATCACAGTCTATTGTTTTTTAACAGTTTTAGTGTAGAAAATTTATCTCCCTTTAAGTCCCTTTATCCTCCCCTATTTATAATATGCATGTTGCAAATATTTCCTCTACATACATTTATAACTAAATCAGAAAAATTTAGAACTGGTTCAACCAGCAAATATCATGTAGAAAACTCAAGAGAAGGAAAATATATTGCATTTAGCCGTATTTTTATTTCTGTTGTTCTTTTTATTTCTGATGTTTCAACACTCCTTTTTTTAACCATTTACTTTTTTGTCTCAAGAACAGTTTTTTGCTATTCTTTTAGATTGATTACACATTCTTTCATCTTTCATTTATCTAAAAATATATTGATTTCTCTTTTATTTCTGAAGTTAATTTTTACTGTATATAGACTTCTGAGTTGACAATTTTTTCTTTGAGCACTTGAAGAATATTTTCTCAGTTCCTTCTGGCCTTCATGGTTTCTAAAGAGAAATTTCCTGTCATTCTAGTTGTTTTTTCCCTAAAAATCATATGTCACTTTTCTCATGATGCTTTCAGGACTTTTTTTTGTCTTTTGTTCTCAGAATTTTGATTGCAATATATCTAGACCTGTATTTCTTTGAGTTTATCCTGTCTGAGATTTGTTCACTTACTTCAATCTGTAGATTTATGTCTTTTGCCAAACTTGGGAAATTTTCAGCTATTATTTTTTTCTAATATTTATCCAGTCTCTTCTACTCTTTTTCTTTTCCTTCTGATGACAAAAATGAATATTAAAGCTCTCATCCTCCCCACCCCCCACAGTTTCAGAGTCTTTTTTTAAAAGTCTATTTTTTTTTGAGTTGGAGTCTCACTTTGTCACCCAGACTGGAGTGCAGTGGCCGCTTCTGGCCACCGCAGCCTCGACCTGCTGGGCTCTGGCGATCCTTCCGCCTCAGCCTTCCAAGTAGCCGGAATTACAGGCATGCACTACCATGCCCTGTTGATTTTTTGATTTATTGTAGAGATGAGGTCTCACTGCCCAGGCGGGTCTCGAACCCACGGGCTCAGGCAATCCCCTCACCTCAGCCTCCCAAAGGCGCGGTATTAAAGGCTGAGCCACTGAGCCCGGCTTAAAAGTCTATTTTTAATTGCTCAGATTGGATAATTTCTGTTACTCTATCTTCAATTTCAGTAATTCTTCCCTCTGTGCACTACAGTCTGTAGTTGAGTCCATCCATTTAACAAAAATTTTTGGTTATTGTGTATTCTGGTTCTATAATTTCTATTTTATTCTTATACCTTATATTTCTTTCCTGAGGCTTTCTGTAATTTGTTTCAAGTATGTTCACAATTACTTACTGAGAAATTTTTACAATGCCTGCCTTAAAATCCTTTTCAGATAGTTTTAACAACTGTATCATCTTGATGTTGATATCTGCTGTTTATCTTTCTTAATGAATATTTTCTTGACAATTTTTATTGTATCTTAGACATCTGAGGTATCATGTTATGTAATATGATCTCTTGGGATCTTATTGAAATCTTTTGTTTTTAGCAGGTCTTTTCAGCCTCTGCATGAGTTAGGGTGGTGGAGGTGGAATTATGGGTTTTTCACTCATTTTTCATGACACCTGGGGGCTAGAGGCACCTTGTTACTCTTGAGCAGATATGGAAGTTCAGATTCCTTATTATGCCTCTACTGACAGTGCAAGAGTGGGGCTCAGGTCCACATCGTAGAGATGAAATTTTAATTCCCTAGTCAACTTTTTCTGACACTATCTCAGTGGGGACTTCGGTGTGCCTCCTCACAGCCTAGTGAGAGGTGAAAGTCAAGGCTTCCCACATGGCTGTTGCTGGTCTGGGTGTGGCTGGGGCCAGAGATTTTTTTTTTCATGATCTTTGGCTGCATGATCTTTTGTTTGTTTTGCTAGGTTGCTCCGTTTTTTGTCCTTTGGTTAGAAACAACAGGCTTTTCTTGGGGCTTTAAAAAATTTAGTCTGCATCCAATGGCGTTTTCAGGTTGCTGTCTTCTCTGGGTCTTAGTCTGAGAAAAGTAAGACAAAAGAAAACCCCAAGCAACACTGCTTCCCACCATACATGCATTATTTTGCTTTGAGTCTCCCAATCCCTAGATGTCCCCCTCTTCTCTTCACTTTTCACAGTTTTCCTGTGCTTCTTTTATATGTATGGTCAGTGTTTTCACCATTCAGTAGCAGTAAAAAGGAGAAGTATGTTTATTCTATCTTTTTTTGGACTCTCACGGGTAGCCTCTTTTTAATATTCCTATTTTCTCCTCAAATGTATTAATTACTACAGGTTCTGTTAATGTCCTGATCTTGAGATCATGTCAGATTGTTCATTTGACTCTGTTTTTTGGCAGTGGGCATTTTGTGTATCCCTCACATGACATATGGAAGCTGTGGAAGAAAGACTCGCTTTCTGTTCCTATCAGTCCTGGCCAGAGTGAGAGATTGAGAGTTTTTTCTCTTGCCATCATTTCTCTCTATTGAAAGAAGGGGATTGGACTCCTGCTCTTGTAACTCTGGGGCATCTCTTTCTGTATGCGTTGGGCTTTTTATGAGTGCAGGTGCCTGCTCTGTGCTGGTCACTGTTCTGCCTACCGTACACATGTTGAATCCCCTAAACTTCACCGCAGTGCCATCACATAGGTGCCCTGTAATCCCCATGACCTATCTCGGAGCCCCAATGCTGACTGCTGAGATAACTCACCTGCCATCTCACCACCAGCAAGGGCCAGAGCTACAATTGTATCTCAGATCCCGGAACCTACCTCCAGCCTGCCGTGGACGAGGCTGGAAGGAGAATGCAAGTGCTTTTATTCAACAGTGAACAATTTGATGATATTCCTTTATTTTCATGATGGCTACAGCGGAGGGCATTGAGAACAGCCTCAGAAAAACTCCGAAACCGCTCGTCTTTTTCTACCAACGTTGTCTACACCACCCCAGGCACTCGTGTCAATAGGTACATCAGCCGCCTCTTAGAAGCCCGCCAGACAGAGCTGGAGATGGCGGACCTGAACTTCTTTACCCTGAAGTACAAACATGTTGAACGAGAGAAAAAGGTAAGGGACTCTGGTTTCCAGCTTCTCTGTTTGTGAAAGCGTGGCCTCTCTGGAGGAAGCCCACAACCTGATGGATTGAATTCTCTCTCGTGCAGTACCACCAGCTTCAGGACGAGTATTTCACCAGCGCTGTTGTCCTTGCCCTCATCCTGGCTGCCTTATTTGGCCTTGTCTATCTTCTAATAATTCCACAGTAAGTGTTTTCATCAATGAGGTCGAAGGCCACCTAGAAGTCCAGGTTTCTGGGGTTGGTGGCCGCATTTCCCTTGTTTGTTCAAGGTTTATCTTCTGTGTTACTGTTCCAGTGCACCTGACCTTGGGGGCTAAAATTAGCCACCCAACAATTCTCCAGTTTCTTAAGTTAATAGTTTAACAAGCCTTTATGGCATGCAGCATGGAACTGATCATTTTCCATCTTTAATTTTGAATTTACTCAGTTCTAAGTCACCATGTATTTTCAATTTCTCCATCCATGCAATATTACCATTGCCTTAATTAATAGCTTTTGAGAAAAAAACCCTGCAGTGCATCACATGGGCCCATTGGTTTCTAGGTCCATGTCATTTTCAAAACGTTAAAATGAGAAAAAGAGGCCTCTGAAAAGGAAGCAAACTAGAGTAATTTTAATAACTTTTAAACATCACATAAGTCCATTGTTGACTTTTGTTTTTGGCAAGAGAGATACCACTAAATCTCCACTTGCTACTTCTCTCCTAGGCATACCCATTTCTTAATAATAGCTACCTATGAAATAATATCTCTTTTGAGTTTAAAAGTACTTGGAAGCTACCCCACACCTGCTGAGAAGGGACCTCACTCTTGCGTGCTCTGCTTCCCACCCATTCCACAGACACTGTGCACACAGCAACCCACCTGGTGATGCTATTTGGGGATCAAGTTTTTTCTAAAAATTTTCTTCCTAGACAAAGCCCAGCAAGAGAACAGACCAGCAAAGTCGAGGCAACTCCTGGGTTCCTATCATGAGGAAAAGGGCTTTCAGAAAAGTCCCGTGACTCTCAGTCTAGGTTAGATCTTGCAAGTGGGGTTTGCCAAAGTGGGGGAAGTTGACTTGGAAAGGGCTTTCTCACCCAGGAGCCTCAAGTGCCCTCCCCTAAAAAAGAACCAGCTATGAGCAAATCCCGAGACCCAAGTGGTAGGCAGCTGGGTATCCACACTACTTCTGTTTCCTTTTGAGGATTCAGGGGATGTGGGAGGAGGGGCCGATTCTCAGGCACTTCTCATCCACCTCTCCCAGCTCCCACCTGGCAATGACCCTCATGTCTTCTGTCCCCCAGGACTGTGGCTGTCCTCCTCCTGCTAGTGTTCTGCATCTGCTTCCTGGTGGCCTGCGTCCTGTACTTGCACATCACTCGGGTTCAGGTATGTGGGTGGCATGTGTCCTATACCTGCACATCACCTGGTCTAAGTATGTGGGCGGTGTGTGTCCTGTACCTGCACATCACCTGGTCCAGGTGTATGGGTGGATTCTGCCTGCCCTCTCAGCAGTACGGGTGGGACAGAGGAGGTGGTTTTGCACCCTCACCCTCCATGGCAGGAAGAAAGAGCCTGCTTACATAACAGATGCTCATTAAGTCCCTGCGCACTCTACCATGTTTTTGGAGCATGCCCAGCAGGCATAATGGGCAGGTGGTCAATACTGGTTAAATAAGTGAACGCAAGATACCGATCCATTTGCACCAGAATAGAGAGTTCACCAGAGGAATAGGAGAGGGATATTGTGTGTTCATGTTCAAGACTTTGGCAAGGGGTGGCATTTTCTAGGTGGCTGTCTATGCTGTACAGGTCCTGATGCTTCCTTGTGGACTTTCTGAGCAAAGGCCTGAGCTTTGCCGCCTGGTGCCATCTGCACTTCACTGGAAAAGACTCTATTTTTCTTTTGTCACATCCTCAATCTTCATTTTTGAATGCTCCATATCCTCCAACCAAGCCCCGGTGTCATTTCCGGTAGACCCTGTGTTATTTTTTATTATTGAAAACAGCAACTTTTTTAAAAGGTTAAATCTAGTTTTATTTGCTTCACTTTCTCACTATTCATAGTTAGTTTCTTAATTTTTTATTATTTTGTTTTATTTAGTTTTTTGGGTTGGGGTCTTACTCTGTTGCCCTGGCTGGAATGCAGTGGCGCAGTCATGGCTTACTGCAGCCCTGACCTCAGGCAGTCCTTCTTCCTTAGCCTCCCGAATAGTTGGGACTACAGGTCACGACACCATGCCTGGCTAATTTTTTATTTTTTGTAGAGATGTGTTCTCGATATGCTGCTCAGGCTGGTCTTGAACTCCCACCTCAGCCTTTCAAAGTGCTGGGTTTCAGACATGAGCCACCACACCTGGCCTTATTTTTTTTAATTAAAAAAAAATTCTGACTATTGAAACTTCATTCTCTAGCCAGGTGTGGCAGTGCGTGTCCATAGTTCTGGCTACTTGGAAGGCTGAGGCCGAAGGAACGCCAGAGCCCAGCAAGTTGAGGCTGGGGTGGCCGTGAACGTGCCACTACACTCCAGCCTGGGCGACGGAGTGAGACTCCAACTCAAAAAAAAAAAAAAAAAAACCCAAAGCACCAAAAAAAACCAAACTTCATTTTCATTTCTTTGGTTAAGTACATTTTGAAATTTACTACTACAAATAAGATTGCTTTTTTACATACAATTTCAAGTGAAAGCATGACAGATGGATGATAATTTTTAAAGCCTATCTTGTTGTCCCCAGTGGTGGGAACTGGTGTGCCTGCCCGATGGTGTACAAATAGCATAAGACATGCAGAAAGCCTGAAAAACCGCTGGGGAAAAGGTTAGCTACAAAGTAGTAGTTGCCCAACCAACAGGTCTTATCCCAGGAATGCCGATTGTCGTGAGTAGATTTACACCTCTTCTTGAGACTCCATTAGAGCCTCCCATGCTGGGTGGGGAGAACGTGTCAACTCCTTTTCCGTGTATGAGGAAAGTGGGCTCGGGCAGACTGAGACACATGCTCATGTGACCAGAAAGCAAAATCTGCACTCGGCCCGTCTGTAAAAACAACATTCAAACCTAAAAACTTCTTGGCCTCACAAAACACGTGTCCTGTGAGACTGGGCTGCTATGACCATCTGCCCACAATCAACCCCCTTTTGTTGATAAGGCAGCTGCCCTCATGGCTGGCACTTTGACCAGAATAATCCTGGGTGATTACATTAAAAATAAGCCAGCTTGTGCATCCCACAAAGCGTCTCCCATATGCCAATATTTTGTTCTCCTTGTGAACTCTGCTGCAGGCTCAATGAGGTCCTCTCTTTCTGAATGTCCACTCTTCCTCCTTGCCCTCTCCTGTGAGCCAGAATGGAGTGCTTTTTCCTAAGTGTGTGTGTTGGAAGTGCCAGGCTCGAAAAGTCACTGGGGTTCGACTTAGTCAGGAACTACCTTTGGTGATGGCTGTGGCTTATGTCCAGGAAGCTGGGTGGGGCCGGGGTGCCCAGACTTCTCAGCTAGGATGGGAGGTGAGATTAACCTCACAACAAGTGCGTACCAGGTCAGGGTGTGACTTAGTCAACTCAAACTTAGGCTCATGTTTTCAGGCTCTATATTGGGCTCTGAGCATCCCCTGGGGGGCAGAGGGGGGGTAGTGGGGATGGCAGCTAGGGCCTTAGCAGAGGCCTGTGTAAACAACTTGGGACAAATAGCAGGATGAGGGTTGGGGAAGACCAAGAGAGGCAAGCAGGTAGAAGATGTGGGCATCCAACAGAAGGCCAGCTTGACCAAGGAGGAGACACGTGTGGGTGCAACTGGCCACGCAGGTAGAATTAGGTCCAGTTGCCAGAACACACCTCCAGAAGGCCTGTGGCATCAACAGGATAGAAATGCTTCCCTCCCTGGCATTGACAACGTCCAGAGCCAGGGTGTACAGGGCAGCATGGTGGCTCCATGGACCTCTGGGACCTTTGCCCACCCAGGTGGCTCCTTCATCCCAGCTCTGGGTCTGCGACCCAACCCTTTGGGCCTCAGTGTTGCTCTCTGTCAATGAGCCTGGTAATGGTCCTTACCTCTCTGGCTTGACATGAGGATGCAGTGAGCTAATAGGTATAGAATCCATGGAGCAGGGCTGGGTACAGTGTACACTCATTTGGAATATTTTGAAATTGAATAAAAGGAAGAAGGCTGAGTAGGGAAAATGGGCGGTGGGTGGAGCCCATCCTGGCATCAATGGGGGTGCCTAATCCTGTAAATGCTAGAGGTGAGAAGGGCTGCAGAGTGTGTCCTTATCTGTAGAGGGTAGGGGAGCCACCCTGAAGGCTCTGCTGAGGACTGAAAAGAGCGAGAACTGGATCTGCTGGACTCAGGAACCGAGATAGGGCAGGATGCAGACTTTGTTTATCTGGGCTGCAGGGTTGGTTTGGGGGCGCACGCAGTGGGGAGACCACAGAGCTGACAAGGCTGAGATTTGGATGCCTGGGCCTGGAAGAGGTGAGGAGGGAACAAGAGATGAGGGAGACAAGGAGGTGGGCCAGTCCCAGGTGGGGTGGAGGTTGCTGCAGGAGGGGCAGCCTGAGGTCACAGTGTCGGGCAGATTCAGGCCACTTGGCTGAATCTTGGGAACGTGGGCATGGCATAGTCCACAAGGCAGCCAGGGTGTGGCTTGGACAAGCTTCTCCGCACCCATCTTTCCCTGTCTTGGTGCTTGCAGACCTGCCTTTGAGCCCTGTTTTCCTTATTCTCCTTTTCCTCCTCCATAGAGCTGGAATTGTCAGTTCTGAATCTTCCTGGAGCCTTAAGGGAAGGCGAATGGGGAGGGCTCAGGAAGGCACTGGGCCTGCTGGAACTGTCTAGAATAGAGAGCAAGTGCCTCCTGAGGCCACAACCCACTTCAGACCCTGGAGCCAAGGCATGGGGTGTGTGTGTGTAGCGGGGGGGGTACACACCAGTTAGGATATTTAAGTTGAACTAGAAGGCTTTGAAGAACAGAAAATTAGGAAAGCTAGACCAATATCCTTCAGGAGGAGGAGGCTCGCCGCACAGCTGGGCATGAGTGACCAGCAGGGACAAACCAGAGGGCTTTGTTTTAGCCCCCGTGAGTGCAGATGGCCAGAAAATGGTAACCGCTTTCCATTCTCCAGTCTCACATGAGATCATCTTCTGCCTCTGTACCCCAGCAGCTCCCCAGACTGTGTCTGTGTGGAGTTGGGTTTGTTTATTTATGCAAATTAGCCCCCTACTCTTTAAACATCAAATTGCAGCTTACTGGTGGGCTGTGAAATAAATTTTTGAGAGGTATGAAAGCTCAGTTTTTATAAAGGAATGCACTAGAAATGAATGAAAACCATCATCCTGCATCAAATGCCATCGGGGCTTGTGGAAGTTCTGTTTCAGTTGTGGTGTCTGGGGGCCATCATGCGGAGTTTGTTCTTTAGCTTGACACCCCGTCAAAAACTTGGAAGGGCTCTGCTCCCTTCCTGTGAGCTTCCTTGCTTCCTCCTGCAGCACTGTGGGAAGGATTGACTTGCCCTGTCTCCTAGCCATCTAATCAGTTCCAACATGTTCTTTTCTGTCCTTAATGGCTTATGCATCGCGGTCTGGGCTAAGCAGACATGGACGTAGGTGTGGAAAGGATAGACTTAAACATACTGGTCCTTGTTGCATTTCTCTAAACTGTTTAAGTGACTGCAGACACACAGCTGTGTACCATGAAGGCAGCATCCTCCAAACAACTCCGTAGTGGACTTCCCCATCTATGATGCAGTGTGGTCACCCGCATCTTTTCCTTAGCACCAGGGGAGGTAACCTTTGCAGGAAGACTCCAGTGTATCCCCAGTTGTGCTCCGTGGGCTCCTCCTACTGGTAGCATCCTTTTCTTAAATTCAGCTCATGCTGTGAACAGCTCTGTCCTGTGGAGGCCCATTCCAGGATGCTGACTCTGCCGTTGTGGCCGCAGTCATTTTCTGAAACAATGTTGCTATCATTTGTACCTGCCTTTTGACAGCGTGCTTGGAGGATATTTGAACAAGGGATGACTTTCTGAGTCCACATTTGACTTATTGTAGGTCACATCTTAGGGAATTTTTCATCGTTCAGATTGGAGCAGCAATCTTTTGTTCTATGTCACTATAAGCTATTTTTATACTGTTTTTGTTTGTGGATGTTTATCTTTTGCTTTGCTTATCAAAAGAACTGATAAGCGTTACCCCAATTACTATTTAAAAAGAGGCTGTCAGTCTTAGGATGTCAGGCAACCCTCCTGATTATTTGCTCCAGCTCCTCTCAGAGCCCACCACGTACCAGCTCCACATTGATCCTTGGGGTTGCCGTTATTCAGTGACTCTAGAGAGATATTTAAACCCTTTTTAAAAAAAATTTTTATTTTATTTTATTATTACAAAGATGTGAGGTACAA